TCTGACCATCGCGTAGGCGGTCGTCCAGGCGTTCGCTTGACATCCCGTGGAATCCAGTCGGTCGCTGCTAATCGCTCTTGGTCCAGCGCCCGTCAGTTTCTCGAAACGCAATTACTGTGTTCGGCCCACCTGATCCTAAGAACCTTGGCAAATGCAAAAACAGCTAACAGATATGGTCCTGCGTCCTTATTCCCCTATCCCTTCTATTATGATGTCCAGCTTGAATATCTTAACGGTGATGGCTGTACTGAAGCTAGACGCTTCGATTCCGCGGTCCTTCTGCCCTTGACATATGCCTCAGACTTGGACTCTACGAAAGCAGGATGAGCATGCGGTTGGCGTTATTCAACGCGCCATCGAAAGGGCGATGCTCGGAGTTTCCCGCTACACGCAAGTGAGAGAGGGAATCCGGAGCTCCGCTCCGCCAACGATCGAAGATCAGAGACGCCGCCGCATTTGCCAAGGTTCGAAGATCAGGTGGGCCGGGCACGTCATGCGTTTCGAGGACGACCGCTGGACCAGAGCGATCACCGACTGGATTCCACGGGATGTCAAGCGAACGCCTGGACGACCGCCTATGCGATGGTCAGACTTCTTCGTGAAAGCTCTGAACGAACGGTATGAAGTTCATCGTGTCCCTCGAGCTGAGAGAGTCCATTGGGCAACTCTTGCACGTTGCAGGGACGAATGGAGACGTTACTGGCGCCCGCTCGAGGAACTCGATGATCAACGGGAGCACAGGTGATACAGGTGATACTAAGACTGAGTAAAGCAAAATCTTCTCCAGGCACCTTCGATTTGCATCCTCTCTGATGCTCCTCATAAAGCCTGCTCTGCTGCGGCCAGAAATCTGACCCATAACTATTGTTTTCCGTATCCATTCACTTGTTTTATTTCGAGGGATAGTAACTGTTCCTTGGATGTCCTGCCTCCTGTTCCTTGGTTGATTCCAAAGCGATTGTCAGGGTGAGGCAGAGATGGGCGTGTCCCTTGTAACGATTGCACAAAGGATTACGGTATCATGTTTTTCTGCCTTTAAAGCAAGAAAAAAACCGCTGGCAAACATTTTGCCATGAAAATCAGAGCCTGCGAGACTTCCACAAGGAAACACGTCAACGTCCACAAAAACAATTACATCGATTTCTAGATGTTAATGGACTTACGAGAGCATTGTGTGGCTCGCTGGGGACTTCCTTCACTTGAACGAATCGAGATATTTGGTCCTTCGAATATTTCTTGGAACGCACGTAAAAGCAATTTGACGCGGAGGTTGATGTCATTCTGAAGGGGTGCCCTCATTGCCCGAAAATTTCGCTGTGAATGGCATGACAGGAAAGCTAGAATAACCTTTCTCCAACCTGTCGTTTTCAGATGCTGGTTGCTATGAACGAACGCAAATTTATGATGCTGGATTTACGTTTGGAAAGTAACCGCAAAGGGAATAAGTGAAAAGCAGACAGGGGATCGGTTCAATAATCGGGTGTAAAAAAACCTAGGGAAACTATCTCTAGAAAAATGATTGCGGAGTCCGGAGAGGTTAAAGGCCGCTGGTATGCATGTTAAGTTGGAGAAGCTGCCAGGAATTTCACCAGCTCAGCATTCCTCATTTTGGACTAAATGGTATCATTAGTGTTGCGGAAAAACATCATCGCGGCGGTTTCCTCAGCTGGGGAGGTAGGGGACCATTTAACACAAGCATTTTTTGCTGTTGATTTTTAACATTATAGACGCTTCATTCCGCCTCCACCCCGGCACTGTTCCAGTCTCGCCCCAGTAATTTGCTTATTTGTTAGTCTATCAAAGCTCCCTCTAGCTCTCCTCCACTCAGCCGCGTTTTCAATTAGTTCATGATTGAAGGGGGGAGGGGCCGTATCGAACGACAATGCATGGTGGTGGTCGTATTCAGCAAACAAGCCCCACATCCGGGTTTTTCGTTTTCCCACTGAAAAGGCTGAATGTGTCTGGGAACGTTGGCGGTTCTCGAAGACCACCTGCACACTCATCTACAAGGACGATCCTCTCCATGTGCGATGTGGAAGTGGCATCGGGTGGAGGGCGGGTGGGTGAAGCGTGAGTACATAAGGGCACATACTCATTGGTCCTTAATGTGCAGCGCGCGGCGTCGACACCAGGCGTTATCGCCAGGGAGCATCATACTTAAGCCGAAAGAAGAACAACCGCGATTGTGGAAGGCGAATAGCGCGTTTGGCTATGTAGGTGTGTGGCCGTCTTTACGACAACTCAGGTGCACCGTGGAGACGGCACCCGGGTACCTTCACTCTACAGCCCCATTCCTAAGCATTTCTTGATCGAAAATGACAAGCCATTGCAGCTCCAAACCTATCACCTCACTATTTTATCTTAAAGAACCAGGATTCACAGAGGATTGATAGTTCGCCTTTACACGGAAAACGGTTATGTGGATGTTTTGGAAAAATTTAGTTAGCAGTGTCTTCACCATCATTGAATTCAACTGAGCATGACAATGGAGACTGGCATAGTGGGACTTGATGTCATGTGTTCGTACAGTGAATTGCAACGCCTCTATCCATACCATCGCCTATGCTTATCAAAAGAGCGCCTTCTTGTCAAACAGGTTATTTTTTGGCCCGAACAATTCTTTCATTGCTCTGCGGTCAATCAAATCGTGACAGGCACAGGTAGCAAGAACATTGAATTGTACTGTGCGGTATCAAGTCCCGTCCATGGTCTGACCTTTGCCCATGAACTCAGCGCTCTTGTGATAACTGAATCGGGGCGTCGGTAGGCTTCGTAAGTCGTTAGTCGCTGTAGTATGGATTAAATAAGTGCCGCTGCGATCTCAGAGTGAGCAATACCTGGCTCATCCTAAAAGGATTTATTTGCCTTGGAACCACTGAAAAAAAATTCAAACCGTATACAATATGTGCGCAGACGACAAACATCTGAGGCTTTTCCTATTTCTCCCGCGCGGACGACTCGTGATGTCTGGACCGCAGTGGAGGGCAGCCTCTTGCATTTCGTGAGTGGAAGGTGAAGATCGTTTCCCAAAGTGAAACGATGGGAAAGCGAGTGCAATGTGCACTTGTATGAGGAATCACACTTCCCTAATGGTGTGAAAGGGCTGCATGGCCCATAAACACAGAAAAGCCCGAAATTCGCAGAGACCGACAACGACCCAGCCTCTTGAACGTTACTAACAACATTTGGTTTTTACCTAAGCCCTCAACGGATTTGTAATTGGATTGACGTACGAGTTGTTTGAGAAGTTTCTTGTATACACGCAAAGGGTGGGCCAAACAAGCCCATGCTTCACAAAAACTTATTTTCGCACGGACTGACCAAGTAAGTAAACAGCCAGGACATCGAACACTGGCCTCGATACTTGTATCTTCAGAACTCGTTCGGGTCGGTATTTTGCAGCTTAATAGAGTACTAAATACAGGTACCTTCGCTTAGAAAAGGCGTAGGTTATGCAGCGCAGCGTCTGTTCAGGGGGGTGGAATTGCGTTCTGCCAGGTGTATTAATCCTACTCGTCTTAGGAACTTATCGTGTCATTTGCCTTTAACTTTTTCTGCGGTTTTTGTGGCGCTGACTGGAGATGTTAAACGTTAAGTAACAATTTCTTTTTCGCACTGCCATAAAGAAAGCAATGCGGTTGCAATTCTGCAGTATTCTTTCTACTAGCGCGCGTGGAATGTCCACCATGTTTCGTTTTTCTGACTTGTGAACTATTCAAGAAATGAAAGACTAATCACTACTTTGAGGTATCCAGGATAGAAAAAAGAGAAGATGAAATGAGATTAAATTGAAAAGTAGGAACGGTTGCATCAATAGGGGGGATTGCGCCACCCTATGAGTATCCAGTCCTCTCTAGGAGAGCCTTTGAGATCGCCATTATTGGTTTTGTTCGCACAGCTCTGACCATGGTACGGGGTCGCTGTAGTTTTCTGGGACCGATTAACGCATTTGCTATACGCTGCAAGGAATAGCTGAATAGATAAACTATATAGTGGGCGGCCCAAACATACCAGGTTGATGGTGGGGCTGAGGAAGTAAGCGTACGGTATTATAACTCTGCTGCAGCTGCTTTTGGTCTTATTTTGTTCTAACTAGCTATTCAGAATATATTTGCGTGAATATGACTTCCCGAAGAGCTTTGTCACAGGAACGAAGGCAAGAAATTACTGAAATTAGATTCTTCTTGTTTTCAAGCTATCGTTTTCTATAACTTTCCTATTCTGACTATTAACCCATCTTCTTTCTTAGACCGGTTTCATACTTCGCGACTCGTGCGATTCAGTTGCATTTGGAATCGTAAGGCTGCAGCCGAACCGCGCTCAACGGTGAGCCTACCGCTGAGTCGGTCACATTTACGGGTTACGTGACAACTAGAACTTCTGGTGTGATTCCTGGCGCGTGAAAGCCACAGCGCAGAGAAATAGAGGACTATGGCTGCCAAGGCATCGAAGGTGCGAAAAGCATGTCGCTGCGCCATGGGCGATTAGACTTTTTCAAGGAGAAGGCCAAGGTCGAGGGTGGAGGAGCCAATGAGCCATTTATCGTGAGTGACAGGTTGGAATATGTCGCTGTGGTCATGAAACTTGCTAACGTGAGGGTGCAGAGAGAAACAGGAATTCTTCGCGATTATACGAATCTGGTTGTCTGTAGACCACATAGGATAATAACTATTTCCAGAGTACAACGCGATCGGTAAGTGTCGCGATTTCGCCGATTGTCGTTGCAGCTGAATCGCTTAGGTTGGGAAGTATGAACGCAGCCCTCAAGGCACAGACCACTCCGGTAGTTTGAGCGGGTTCACACCTATTATAGCGTCATGCTTCTAGTTGGCACACACTCTTCCTTCGCACCAATGATGAGGCACGTGCGCTAGCAAACCATCGGCGCAGGGCTGCTGCCCTTGAACGTATGTGGTCCTTTATTTTCGATTTTCTATCTTCCTTATCAAAGTTTTAGCGCAAAAGCAATAAATATTTCTTGTTCAGCGAATTAGGTGACTATGGGTAAGTCAATACCTCTTCTGTTGAAATGGGTTTGATGTTCAACTGGTTTCTCTCTGATTAAGTTTCCATTCTGAGCTGATGAGATGATCTGTGACCTCTATAGCTGTAGCATGCTGCTAGCATGTATAAGTGCTTACCTCTAAAGTGGTGCAGCTTCAGTTCATTGCATCGCGAACTGTATCTGTTCCGGTCAGCGTTGCAAAGCACTTCGATAATCGATTGATGTTCCAGGGAGACCAGAGATTTTCTTCAATTTCTCAAGCGAATCAATTACGATCATCGTCAATGTCCAGAAAATGCTGCCGGCGGTAAGCTGTTCTTTGCCCCATCATACCTGCTAGCCTAGCTGTCCCTCATCAGCCGTCAGAGCGTCAGGTCTCTGTCGTTATCAGCAATATTCGAGCTGTATCGGAGGGTACAATGGTGAGTGTATCATGTAAAACTGGAGGAAGGTTTCACCACCGGGTATTTAGCATCACAGTATCACGTTGGTTCGCTGTGGGCGGGAGTTGAGGCTTGTCATTTGTGCATCTCCTCCTTAGCGCACACACCTCTTTTGAAGCACAAAGGGCGAGAGGGAGAAAGGGCTAGGTGGCGCCAAAACTCCGCCCACTCGACAAGCGTGGACTGCACATTCAATAATTTCTCGCCCGAAAGTCAACGATTCGTTTCTATTTCAATCTATCTATTAAGGACTACGCACTCGAGATGTTCTATCGTGAATCATGGAGGGATGATCGGCTCCAGTTCAACATATCACTTTTCAAGAACAAAACGGAGCTAGCCTTACATGAGAGCTACACGAATTTTCTATGGTTTCCGGATACGTTCGTACCGAACGCGATCGCGTCGAAAAATCCGCAACGCAACAGTATATCACACCGATCCTTACTCAGGTAGGAAATGGTTCCTCTGCAATGGCTATGCGTGGCTGTTGGAGCCTTTGGCACTCTTTCGCTGGAAGGGCGGTGACGAAGTTTCTGTGAAGTTGAAAACGTCACTAAACGCTCCCACTTTGCGATCCTAGGAGACTTTGTAAACGCTTGTTACGGGCCGACCCTGGTCTATCAGTGCGCCTTGTTTGCTAGCGGTTCATCCCTCTCAAAGAAGAGCCCGCCACCATGATAGATTCGACCTCGCCCATACGTGGACTGCACCAGGAACTTGGATAGGAATCGGATGCATCTTTGGGTCTTTTTTATCTCGCCAGAGGCCTCACGATAGCTTCGAGTTGTAATCGTTTCTGTTCTTTTTTTCACGAAATTCCACGAACTTTTTCACAAAATCCCTCTTTAAAGTTTGATCCTGGATATAATAGACAAAGTGACGTGCGTAAACCTTTCAGGCTGGCGAAGTAATGGACAAACGTCTCTACAGTTCGTCGATATTCGCTAGTTAGCTGAATGCAGGTAAGTTCTACTTTGTTTACTTGCCCTATTTTTCACCTTAGTTCCTACGCTGCAATTAACCCTGAAAGAACACGTTGCGTTCTTGGCATTTTCTGTCGATCTCAAATGGTTTCAGAACGTCTCCCTAGCATGGCTTGCTGACCTACAAACTATGGCAATTTCTTCTTGCTGGTTTTAACGCGACATTGAAATAACCTATTCAATAATAAGCGCAGGCTCGGTAAAAGTAGCAAGGGAGAGTAAATCGCTGGGAAAAAAATTCTAAAAGCTGATCCGGGGCAAGTTTCATTCCAGAGAGGAAATTACGTCCGGGAAAAATTGTTAATCATAACCTTTGTGACCGGAAACTGTGGTTATTTTCCATTTGCTTCCATATTTTCAAATTTTTTTCACCCATCTCATATCGCCGCAGTGACTTTTATTCTGTACCAGATTCTTCTTGACACTCTTGTCTGACGCCTCGACAATGTAGTGGCGTGGTACACCGAACCTTGCGATGAGGTAGCGTACTGCAAACTAAATATCGTAGGCGCCATGCTTAGTGGAAAGATCATTTTCATTTCACCCAAATTATGTCACGCTCCGCTCCAACAACGAACAAGATGGCAATTGTCTCAGATTAGAATATCCCATGAGTATCCAGTTCTGTGCCGTGTTCGAATGCCACGCCTACCCCGTCTCACGGATAAGGAGTATTTATCGATTACTATCATTAAGAGAAGTTATCACAGGAACGACGAGTTAGGGCCAAAAGACGCAACCCAAGCAGGACTCGGACCTGTCTCTCAGAGTTGCTAAGCTATTGTGATAATCATTACAATCATAAAATGTTCACAATCTACAAACTTTTGTCAAATAAGGAGAACAGGTTTTGATTTCAGCCATGTTATTGACGCTCTTCCGTCGACAAGCATTATGCAAAGCTTGGTATCGAAAGCTGTAAGTCATTAGAATAAGACAAATAAAGAAGTTATCCACACGTTTGACATCCACTCAAACTTTTATGCCTTTTATGCCCTTGGAACAAACAGCGCATAAATAAGCGTTACTGTTCTTCCCTAAAAGCGTGGTAGCCTGGTGGAGAATGGTTTGGCTAGACACAGGCGTAAGATACCGCGACTGGTATTGCGTATGTATTTTGACTCCTGGACTATAGCCATGGTAGCAAAGCGCCACTTTTCCCCGCACCGCGCCCTCCTTATTGTAATTCACACCTCCGCCGATCTGAAACTGTGCAAAGTGGGGGGAGGCTCAACTCTATTTTCTTTGCGGAGAAGTAGACTTCAAAAGCCACTTGTTTTGCAATAAATAGATTTACCGTATTGCAGATGAGAGTCTGTAGCCCTACAGGTGGAACAAGCCTTGGTCGAGTGAACCAATTTTAGTGCGACAACTGGAATTGGATCTTCGTAATCCCTTTCCTTGAACTAGGAACCCTCTGAATCCCCCTCAAGTTGATATTCGCCGAAAGTTGTTCCATTTATGTTGCCCTTTAGGAATCTACTGATACCTAACCAGCATGTTTCAGACGGGTACACAGCTGATCAGGTGGCCTACAAATGGTCGTCTGGTTCACGACCAGCGTTGAAATTGCATAAAATTCGACTGCCGGATTTCACCATCAAGGAAGCTTACGTGACCAATCAAATGGAGGTCTACGCTACTGGTTAGTTCTTTACATTGGACAGATTCTAGCGCACATTCTTCTCTCTGGGAAATCTTATGGGTTGGGGGCTTCACTAATGAACTGTTGACAACATTATCTCTTGTTCACCTTTATTTGCTTGAATTTGACGATAAATACAGCGCAAAGCTCATTTTCAAACCATACATGTTTTGGCCACAACTGCCAATGAACTGAAGAAGCTGTGTTCATGCCCGTCTAGCACTCCCTTCCACCTTCATTGGTGGTCTACTCTGATATCATGGGCGGAGTCGAGCGCAACTTACCTCTTGAATGCACGCTTACTCTTCACCATATCAATACATGGAAGCATTTATGAGCAACGATAGGGTGGGCCTGACTCCGCCTGTGCAATCAGCGTGGAACGGACTGTGCCCTTGAGTGAAATGATCCCAACACTGAGCAGCACAACAGTTTTTCTTTTCACTGAACTAGCCCGCGACTTCCTCTTAAAGACTAGATGGAGATAGATGTGCTGCCGTCGGAATGCATGAAATTGCATTGGTTTTTTGCGTGCTGAATGTCCTTTTTCCGCAGTTCGGTCGTTGCTTTACAATGCCAAGTACATTTGAAGACGGAGGCAAGGCTAAACGACCGAGTTGCATGTCACCCTCTACGTGACTGTCTCTGACTTGTTCCTAAATCAGGAAACTACTCTCGTCTCTATGTGTGCTTCGTATTCTCTCGCTCATCCGGGTTCTGCTTCCTGCAGTTGATTATCCCTTCAACCGCGGTCGTCATCACATCGTGGGTCTCACTATGGATGGAAAGCGAGACCGAGTTTCAAGTGAGTGATTCTCAACTCTTAACATGAGCATGTAGCACATGTAGGGCTCAAGGACCGAGGTGCCGTGGGCATCTGTTGGAAAGCATCTGTTATCGAAGTAACACTAATAAAATAAGGATGAACCGCGTGCGCTTGGTAAGCCACTGCCACTACACCACCGCCGTCGTTCTGAATAATTGCTACACTTCTCAACAACTGCAAAAACGTAAACTTGTTCCTATACAGTCCTTTAGCATGTGCAACTTGAAAAGCCGCGATGGATAGTTGCGAGTCAACTTATCCCTGGCAAACGGAGAGGCGCGTGAAGGGGAGTAAGTCCGAGCGTAAACAAGACGGCCTTTCTCCACCATTATTGCAGGCCCAAACCGTCAGCTGGTAGAAAGGCGAGCTTCCAACCACACCTCTTATTTGCAGGAATAATGAGCTCTTGTCCAATGGTTCATAACATTCTGGGGTCAGCCTGGCTGTAATGATTTGTACCTTTATCTGTATATTCCTCTAGGATCATGGAACGGATAAAGGAATGCTTTCGGAACATATCCATCTTTTTGGGATACTTACAACGTAGTCTGCTTGCCAATTCACTATTCAAAACAAGTTCTTTGAATTCGACCTATTTAAGGACTGCGTGCCTTGTCCCACATGCCTTTTTCTCCTAGCACCTACGCTTGTTACCAATTCATCGGCCGGAAGGTGAAAGGCCATGGGTTGCCTCGGGCGAGAGATTGACTGCGATTGGGAACCCACGACCAGCGCGAGAGCATAAGCGCGCCACTTGTCACCCACACTATACTACACCACTCCTGCCCCAAGTATGATATAGTGATCAGGTATAGAAGTTGAAAATAAAGCTTCGGGAAGGGTGCGTGGTCTGCGATAAATACATGACGGTCAGCGACTGGACGCCGTATCTGGCAGCGACAGCCTTACCGGGTCTCCACATGAGCTGAGGGCAACAAATATGAGGCGAGATCATTAGTTAATTTCATTTCTTGCCGAAGAGACAATTGATATTTATAGGACATGATATCAATTATTTTGGCAATAACCTTCCTGATCTTCTCCTACAACGAAATGATGCCTCGTGTCAGCTACATCAAAGCTATGGATATCTATCTTGGTTTGTTCTGCTCTTATTAACCACAGTAAACAACGTTCGAATGTTTTACCATTACAGGAGTATGTTTCATGATCGTTTTTCTCTCGTTGATAAAACTCGCCTTTGTCAAGTACATGCGTCAAAGGATTAAAATGGAAAGGTGAAATATACGCACTATTTTTACCTTAAGGATTTCTAATATCGAGTTGCAGTGAAAGCTTCAACTCAATCTCTGGGATGATGACCAACAATCAACCAGTGAAATGGCGTCATTCCCCCAAAACCTGGCTCAAATCTTGTACTCCGCAACGGGAGGTGAGAGAACTCTAAAACCGATGATTTGCAAAATGCAATGTTTATAGTCCGGAGTTATTAGCAGTTAGACACCAGATCCAGTGGCGAGTTCATTATTGGCAAGCGCTTCGAAGTTTCATGCGCAAATTTTCGTGGACGTAACCTAAACGCGGGGACGTGAGCAGCTGGCAAGTGGCAGGGAGCGGAACCATTGCTGCCAAGGTCATAGGTGAAAAAGCGGAATGGGTTCTGGCTAAATGCCCTCCCGCAGGCTACCAGAGATCGTGGCTGCCCAGTGCCTTTGAAGGGGCATTATAACCAATAGAACGGCGACACGGGCGGAGAATCGGAGAATAGAGGGAAAATCGCGCTTTCTTCATCGACGAGCCCCTTTTTTCGCTGACGAGGTGGTCTCCTGTCCCCACCCTTACTCAGGATTAGCGCAAAACAGTTCTTTACTCTACGTGTCGGAGGTCACGGACCAAACTATCTTCCCGTTTTTTTTCAGAAGCGAATATGTGACGGTGCCATTGGCGGACATGGATGAGTCGTTCATACCCGACGCTCGAAAGGAACGTCTCGGTGACTAGTTACTTGAAATCTTGTGCATACTCTTGCTTTTTTAACGTTACGAATTGCTTGTCATTACTCTCTTTATAGTCAAGTCCACGCCCATAGAAAGGAAGAAGTCGATCGCTTAATTGTGGCTTCCTTGCTGGCAAAATGAGCACCATATGAGTAGTTGATTCCTCAACGAGAAAAGTAGAGAGTCGCACTCTGAGTTGTTGGGTGAGAAGGTGGTATCTGATGGCTAATGCCGTTTGGACTCCAGAAATTTCGGCTCCGAGCTCATTTTCAAATTGCCTAAGTCACCAAATCCACTAAAAACTTGTATATAGGGGTAATTCAACATCCTGATTACGAGTATGACACTCATTCTTGGCGCTGGCGCCAAGAGAGGACACTACGATTACCTCCTGGGCTCAGCAGAGCGCAGGTAACCGTAGTGTCATCCATTAGCGCCAGCGCCAAAATGAATGTCATATTCGTGATCAGGATGTTGAATTACCCCTATATACAAGTTTTTAGCGGATTTGGTGATCTTGCCACTTTTAAAATGAGCTCGAGCCGAAATTTCTGGAGTCCAAACGGCATTAGCCGTATCTGATCAGGAATGCCCCATGTCCTCTAGTGTACGAGGTCTTCTCAGAGCACGAAAGCAGACTAAGGGATAAAATAATGGTTGAGAGATAAAATTCAATTTGAGGTGGAAGGGGATCGTTCTCGGAGCAGCGATTAGAGAAAGGGATGTAATGAACGATCACTTTTCCATAGAGCTCGCTACTCTTCTTTACCGTCTTAAAAAATGGCATGAGTAAGAAAACCCATATGGAAGGCATGACCCGCCCATACCATCAGCGTAGACTGTGCGGTTGACAAAGCTGGATGCTGCTCCATATAATTCATACTGAAGACTTTCAGCATCTAATTGTACTTCCAAATATGGGCGTTCAGAAGTTCGAGCTCATTTTGCTCGTATGACAATCTTACTTCAGGTGAAAAGATGCTGAAGCTTATGGACATCCGCTTCACGCCAAGGACCATGCACAGATTCCAGTGGATATCCCAGGTACAGCTTTACTTTCAAAAACCACGACAAGACTTATAAGTAACTTCCAGTATTTCAGATGATGTTCTTCTTTGGATTCGTCATTTTCTGTTTGTTTTATTTCCTTGTCTACCCGAATCTTCACATCGTCAGCATTGATCCGTCGTGTGATAAGGCTCAAGCGGAATGGTTCGCCGAAATCGGAATGGTTCGCCGAAATCGTTTAAAGGCTGCTCGAAAGTGCAGCACGTCTTCCTGAACCACTTTCTCTACCATTATTAATCGAACAACTTGCGGGTCGAATTCAGGCCACTCGGCATTTCGCCATAACCCGACAAAGCTGCCCAAATAGGCAGGGTCAAGTGAGGTGCCGAGAAGCCTGCTCAGAGCTTCCACACGCCGTGTGAAGCACTTTCTCACAATTATTACACCAGTCAATGACTGGCACTTTGCTCCGTTGATGCACGGAACGCCTTCAATTGTAAGTTATTACATTCGAAGCTATTCATCGGAGGTTTATTCAGTTAGACTAGCCAGAAACTAAGAGCTGGCTGTAAGAACATGTTGCTGCTGCTGTAATTATTGTTGATCAAATAGCCACCCTGTGATATTTTCTACGCTTTATGTTGTACAGATTCATTTGTGCTATCGTCGAAGTCTAATTTTGAAGTTCGATTCTTCTGTGTGACATTTTCAGCGGGTCAGGGCGGTATCGGCAGGGCCTTATCCAAAGTTTGCCACCTTGGAGAATCCGCGAAAACGAGTAAATGAGAGGATCGGTCCCCATCGATACATACCTACAGCCCACGCCTAGACGCAGAATGGGGCGTTTCCTTGAACTTAGTGGTAAGCGCAGCAACGGGTGCTAGTGTCCACACAAAAACGACTGATTGGAAGACAGAGCTAGAGTGCGCATTAAGCGAACCGAGTCTTATGAAACCTTAATGCGAGGATGATGATCCCACTTCACAGATTAGCAGCTTCCGTCACGCTCTTGACTGCAGTCCATATCCCGGAGATGGAGAGGGTGTGGCCAC